CGACATGAACAAGATGCCCCTCCCAGGTCCTGCTGTACACCAAGATATCATCGAGGTAAACTATCACAAAATCCTCTATAAAAGATCATAACAAATCATTCATGAGTCTCATAAAGGTTGTCGGAGTGTTACATAATCCAAACGGGACCACCAACCACTCGAATAGGCCCTGCTTGGTCTTGAACGCGATCTTCTAAGTGTTATCCTCCCGAATCCTCACCTGATGGTAACCAGACTTTAGATCCAACTTCGTGAAAAATCTTGCTCCCTCCAACTGGTCCGTAAGATCATCGATCTGTGGTAGTGGATAACGATTCTTGATCGTTATCTTGTTGAGTGCCTGGTAATCCACGCACATACGCCAGCCTCCATCCTTCTTGGGCACCAACAACACTGGCGACCCACAAGGTGAACAACTCAACACTATCATTCCTGTCTCCAGAAGCTCTTGAACCTGCTTCTTTATCTTCTCGGACTCCTGTATAGATGTGCGGTATAGACCTATATTCGGCAAAGAACTCTCGGATGTCAGTATAATCTTATGCTCCACACCCCGTCGTGGTGATAGTCTCGTGATCTTTGAAAATAAGTCTGCATACTTAGCCTTCAACCTATCGAGATCTCCCTCCTGAAGCTTGCTCAAGGTGGTCAAGCATATTCTACTCAACTGTTCCTCATAAGGCCTAATGAATAACAATACAAACTTCTTACTCGCATTAACTAGCCTCTTTGCTTGAGTCACCGTCACCAAGCTAGTCTCTTGTGGAAGAGATGCCGAACGAAATATGAACTGCTCGCCATCCTTGGTGAACGTATACTTCTTGGCCCGCCTATCGTAGACTGCGTACCTATCCCACAAATAGGGATTGCCCAGTATAACCTGGTAAACATTCAATAGAATGATGTCGCACGTGACCTCGTCAATATACGACTCGTGGAGTGCAAATCTGAAAGTGCATTAGTTGATCACACTCAATCCTACCTCATTCTGAATCCACCCTAAAGGATAAGGCTTCGGATATTTTACCGTCTTTAATCCTAGCTTTTGAACCAAGGCATCGGATATCAAATTCTTCTAGCTCCCTGGATCAACGATGGCATCAACCAAGCTGGTTTTCACCTGCAACTTAAGAACAAAGAGCTGCTCCCTGTGGTCTTCTTCTTCATTCGTAGCCTGCTTCCCTGCCATAAGGTTAAGATTGATGTTGGGTTTTGTCATCCGGGGAACTTCCTTCGGACCCTGTGCTATTACATATGCATTTTTCTCCTCCTTCTTCTTTGACCCCTTCGGCTTCAGATGAGGATACTTCTTCTAGCACCGATCAGCTACGTGTCATGTCTGCTTGTAGTGATTGTAAGTCAATCATACCTTTCCTGAATCACCCTTCTTCTTCTTCTCTTTCTTAGGTTGAGAGCCACTAGACTTGCCTCCAACTTGCTTGGAATCTCCCTTCGTCTCATTCCTTCTTCTGCTTGCCCTCAATGGCAATAGCCTTCACACTCACTTCTGCAATGGACTCGACCGTGAATAGCTTCACCTCCTTCCGGATGTATTCATTCAGACCCGTCATATACTTCATGAAGATGAAGTATTTCTCCATTGCGATGTTGAGGACCATCGTTAGTTACTGAAACTCCGTAGTGTATTCTTAAACGGTCTGATTGAATCTTTGGTACAAGTCATACCACTTGTACCAACGCTCCTCAAGGAATCCCATCGGATAGAATTGCTTCCTCAATAGCTCCTTGAACTTGTTCCACGACACCGCCTTCTTCTCCTGCTTGTAGTAGGATTTCCACCACGTTAACGCGTGCCCTGTAAGCTTCAACATCGTAAAAACAATATTCTCTTTTGATGAATAGCCATAAGGAGTAAAATAAGTCACCATCCGCTCGATCCAATCATCAAGTATCTCGACATTGACACTCCCATCATAAAAATGAATCTCCACTCTGAAATCTATCTTCAGATTCTGGTAAGTACCTTTACCCCCTTGATGTGGAGCTGTCTTGACGGTCTCGACCTCCTCGTCGGAATCTGAATCTTCACTCTCTCCATCAGACTCTACAGGTTTTTTCTTGGATTTCGAAGAAGATTCTTGTTCCCTCCAGGGATGAGATCGACGAGTTGTGTGAGAGTCGACCCGATTGTTTCGATCTGTTTCTCTAACCCATCAAGCCTTGTTGAATTGTCACTTTCTGTCATCTTATTCTTCCTTAATTTTTGGATTTCTTCCAAGGAAATAAGAACCTCGCCTAGCTTCTTGTACTATGATCGAGTAAGGGCCATATATAGGATTCCTCCTTCACATGATCTGATTGCTCTGATACTAACTTGGTACGAGTTGTCATGCGAGCACCTTTGATCGCAAAATTATCAAAGGTGGGTTGAGAAGAAAACAATAGAAAACACAAGAACAATTCAGTTGGCGAAGAAAAATACATTATCTAGATTATGAGTAATAAAAGATTACAAATCTCTCTCTCTCTCTCATAATCTCACTAGAATAAAGAACAATCTCTCTATTCTTTTTGAATACAATCCGATTGCTTAGAAACCCTAAAAAAATCCTATTTATATCCCTAATAACGTGGATGACAATCTTGTAAATAAACAAGTCTAAACAAATCAGGAAAACACGTCAAAGAGAGTTTCGGGCAACTCAGGAAACTTGATCCGGTCGACCGACACATGTCGCGGTGTGTGTTGGTTTCAAATACTGCAGTCGGAACCACATCCATTCGACCGACCAGTGTGTCGCGGTCGACCGACCAGAGCAATCTATTCTCACCCTGTAGTGTGCACAAATCCGGTCGACCGACCAGCTTGGTCCGATCGATCGGCCAGAGCCTGAGCGTCAGTTATCTGATTTTGTTGTCTTCTTGCTTTTGGCTTCTTTCGCCGCCACCAATGGCTTCGTTAATGTCTCTATTCTCAAGATACCATGAGAATCGTCTATCCTCAAGCTCCTATGAGGATCTCTAAGCTCCCGAAGCGAGGAATAAGATATGCATGTATCATATATTTAATTATTATTTTTATATCTAATAATTACTATTTAAATTATTACCAAAAATATTAATTTTTAGGGTCTTGAGTTTTTATTTTGAGAAATAACTCTCTAATATCTTATCTACGATCTAGGGCACTCTTACTTGGAGAAAGATTATTCAGGTATTTATCCCACAATATTTACATAATTATTTTTAATTTAATATGTTTAATATTTTTATATTTAATTGTTGTGTTTGTAATTAATCTCCTATAAACATTACTTCAGGAAAAAAACTGTGATTTTTAATCTTTAACCCATGGCTCTTTTGTTGGTTAGAGAAAAAAATTGGTATTTAATATAACTTTATTATGATAATTTATTTATATTTTAATATGTTTAATGTTTTTATATATCTAGTAGTTATTTTTAATCAAAATTTGATGCATATTTTGATTCAATTTTAGACTTGATTTATTAAATATGTTAGAATAAAATATATTGGTTAAAAAAAGTAATTATTAACTATATTTTTTGATATTAGTTTTGAATTTTATATTTTTTTAATTTTATAAATTCGTGAAAGTTTATTAAATTAAAGATTGTTCCTGTAAATCAAGAGTTCCTGAATTTAAATTATTTTAATTTCAAAATATTTTTAAATAATACCATTTCTTTTTGAATTTCAAATTATCAAAATAATCTTATCAAATACAAGTTACCAATTTAAATCACCAAATCTTGCTTTAATTTAGTTACCTAATTAACATCATGCTCATAAATTTTCTATATTTTAAATTATTATAATTCAAAATATTTCTGAAATAAGGAAAAATTATGTCAAGGCCCCAAAATAAAGAACTTCGTGTGCCCCCGCCTAGGGCTGTCCATCCGGGCCGGCCCGAAAAACCGGGCCTGGCCCGGGCAAAACCGAAGCCCGGACCCGGGCTCGATTGGCCTGGGCCAGGTCCAGGCCTGGGCTTGGGCCTGGGCTCGGGCCTGAGGGGGTCGGGCTCCTGGCCAGCCTTGTTTTCTTTGTTATTTAAAATTTTTTAATTTTTTTAAAATTTTAAGAATACAAAGCAAAAAATAAACACAATTTTGATTAAAAAATTATATTATTAATCAATTGTAATTATGTAATTTACAAATATAAAAATTTATAAAAATTAAAATGATATAAAATAATTGCAGAACTTATAGAAACAAATAAAATTAAAAAAAATTGTAGAATTCAAAGACCCCAAGAGCCCAATCAATCAAAGACCTCTAAATATATATGTTGTGGCTAGGATTTGAACCACTAACCTCCTCTCCAAACTCTTAAATTTAACCACTAGACTAAGTAGCCCAAAGTATTCATGTCATTCAATATAAGTATATGTATATATATATACACACATATATACATATATTATACATAAACAGATTGTAAATACTTATAGTAATTACATAAACAAATTGTATTATACATAAACATATATATAAAAAATATAAACTATATATATACACATATATACATATATTATACATAAACAGATTGTAAATACTTATAGTAATTACATAAACAAATTGTATTATACATAAACATATATATAAAAAATATAAAATTGGAACGGAATAGTTGCATACTTTTAATTTGTTATCTTAATTACTGTAACTATTTTACTGTAAAATTAAGTTAATTAACAGTAAAAAATTAACTATATTTAGGTTATAATTTGGTTCAAGTATATGAAAATTAAATACTGTAAATTGTGATATATTGATTTGTGAAATATTGATAAGTAAAATGAGAGTGAGAATGAAATGTTTTTTTTCATTTTGATGATATATTGATTTATAAAATTGTGATGATATATTGATTTGTGAAATTGAGAATTGCGATGATTATTCATATTTTTTTTATTTTGAATGTTATATATCTATAAATTATTTAAATAACAATAAATTATTTAACCTACGTTACGCTATGCGTTATCGCTACTGTAACTTAACCGGAGGTAAGCGTTACGCTATGCGTTATCGCTATTTTCAACATTGGTAAGAACCTTCTAAGATACTGCCATCATAAATAACTCAGTAATTATAATTTAGCACGTAAAATTTGCACCTTTACTTCTTCATATAACTTCTTCTCCCATGCATACAATCTGTCTAATGTGTCCTGATAGCTTCCAGATATCATACAACATTCTTCTGAGTAATTTCTGCTGATGAGGGGCCACTAAACAGAGAAGCAGGGTTAAATATCCTAGCTCCTGCACCGAGTAAAGATTTGAGACAACTATGTAAAAGCACAAAAATTAATTCCATATCGTCTACAATTTGATTACAAATCCCTTAAGATAAATACATATTATGCACGCGCATAAAATTTATTACATTTTATTTTGCAACTATGTCGAGTGAAGTAAGTATATGGTTCTTGGTTTTTAGCATCTTGCTGAAATTCAGGCACGACACTAATTGTCATCTACTTGGTATTTCTATGACAAATTTAGGATTAATCACCAATCAATATACCAAAATGGAAACTAAACTTTGCAAATATCGGTTTACGTAATGTTATATATCTCCAATCTCTGGAGGGGAGAAAAAGTAACACACAAGCACAGAGATGATACCTGTAAGTTCAGTTGGAGCAGAGTACTGAGCACTGTTTGCTTCGAGCATGACTTAGACCTCTTTCGCAGAATCAAAGGTTCTTACAAACTGGTTCTCGATTCAAAAATTCGTTTTGTTTTTGATTCGTTTATATATAGCTCTGTAAGTTAAATGACAAATCATTTCGGTCCTTTATTATTTTTCATGCTATAGAATTTAAAAATTTTGTCGACATGCTCCACTCACTACATTACTGTATGGGATTGAACCCATTTTCTTTATGCATTTATCTTGACCAACTCATGGTTTCAAATGACTGTACATTACTTAATTGACCATATTATGCTAATTTTAACCAAGCAATGGTAAACTGTTGGGCCGTGATTGTGATATAGATTCATCTTCCAGCGGCTAGAGACCAACTCTCAACCTGCGAATGTGGAGGCTATTTTATCTACAACAAATAATCAAAAATTAACAGTGCATCATAGTCAAATTAATCTGAACGATTGGCTCCGGCATCTCTCGATGACCAAGGTTTCCAAGACATGAAACATCTTTGCTGTATTATTGATGTGAAAATTGCACCTTAATTCGGTACAGGTAAAGTTACTTGAAACTCTATAAACTATCATGAGATTTGTAGTTACATAGTAGTTAAGCTTTTATCAAAAGAATTACATCTCACATAAATACAATTTGGGATAATTCTTAGTTGCTGTTGTGTAAATTTCTTGTAAACTTATGAGGACCATTTCTCTCTGGTCAACAAGTTGCTGTTGTGCTATTTGCAGAATAGTTAACGGAAATAAGAGGGAGAGAGGGGTGATCAAGGAACAAAAGCTATTAAGCGAGAGGGTCCTACTAAGCTGGAGGATGGTGAATCTGCCAATTATAAACTAAATTTTTTTGGAAAATCTAAGATTGTAAAAAAGAAAAAAATGGTAGCGATTAACTACAGAAAATGTTGACAAGCTGTTTATTTGTATTATAGAAAATTGTTGGCATATGTTGGATGATTGCGGACAAATATGATTCAAGATTTTGCATTGAACAATTTTTCCCAATAACTTACAATAAAAGTGCAATCATATACAAAGTTATTTTGTCAGTTATTCTAATTGGGTATTCTATGTTTTATGTAGCCTTAATTTACTCTCATGTAAATAACATTTAAGTTCTTATTTCATTACTTCCATTATTATATATATATTATATATATTATATTACATATATATATTATATATATATATATTATATATATATATATAATACAATATATATATCTATCTACCCTTTAAAAGAGGGAGTTCTTAAAAAACTTTTCCTAGCCTAAAATACCCTTCAACTATTGTAAATATAACAACTTTATCCCTTTTTATTATTGTTAAACAGAGTTCAGAAAATTGGGAGCCCTAATCCTTCATTCCTTTCATCCTTCTCTCCGTCGGTTACGAAATCCTTCGTTCCTTTCATCCTCCTCTCTGTCGGTTACGACTTCGCTCTAGCAATGCCCTCCCACTTTCTTAAATCATTAATTGCCAACGATGAGTATTATTGCCCTCATCATCTCCGCACCTCCTCTGCCATCATCTCCTCAGTTCTTAGATTTTGGGCATTTGTTCGGATCTAGAAGGAAAATCATCGAAGAAGGTAACATTTCATCCTTTTCTAAATTTGATTTTGATTTTGAAATTTATATCATCGTTATCTTATTTACGGTAGGAGCTTGTTAACAAGATTTGAGTGCAAATTATTTTTTTGTAAAGTGCATGAATGTATTAGCCTTCTTAAGTACTTTGTTGAATCGTTGCAAGTTGGAAATACTTGAGGACACCAGGTCTCTTTTCCATTCCGAGCCCAGTCTTTTTCTGTGGTTATTCTCTATTTTTTCTGTTTTCAATTCTTTGTGATGACAACAGTGTCATGTTCATACTACCAAAAACCTCATATCAATGCAATTGTTTAATTTTCTTTGTGATGACAACAGTGTCATGTTCATACTACCAAAAACCTCATATCAATGCAATTGTTTAATTTAGCAGGTCTGTATATGAAGATTGTTATGAAATACTACCAAAAACCTCATATCAATGCAATTGTTTAATTTAGCAGGTCTGTATATGAAGATTGTTATGAAAAGACTTATAAAAATTGTCATGTTCATACTACCAAGAAACTCATATCAATGCAATTGTTTGTTTGTAGAATGTTGGATCACATTGTAAGCTTTGTTCGCATTGCCATGACCTCCATACAGCTCTCATAGGAATGTTCACAACGCCTTATCTCAAAATGAAACACCAAATAAAACTAAAAACAAAATCAAAAGCAATTTAATTCCTTATTATGTAATTAGGATTCCGATTCCTTATATACTTTGGACTTGGATTAGTATATTTTTTATAAATAAAGGTAAACAGGAGGGGAAAATCATCTCTCTTTTCTGTTTCTAATTACTAATTCTACAAAAGTTAAAGCCAAAATAACCTTTATTGCATTGATTCAAATATAATGCTTCCCAAATAGTACAATGCAAACAACGTTGCTTTTAGTTAGGTCTTTATATAAAATTATCCTAACTACAAGTAGTAATGTAAATAATGTGTTGTGAACTTAAGTTTATACTAATATAATATAAAAAGGGGAATGTTTATTTTGGAAGTTAATTACCAATTGGTAGCTCACACAATTACAAAAATAGAGTAGAGTTTTGCATTCTGGTTAAGTTTACAAAAACCACAAATGTGCATACTCTGTTTACCATATGCATATATTCTGATCAAACATATCTGAAGTAGAAGTCATTATTAGCTTATAAACATAGTTTCTTTAGCTTTGTTAGTAACCATTTAAGTTATGCCGACCACCTCAAAAATTAAAGGCTCGTACAAAAATGCTCATAAATGTTTGTAAGGCTCATTTTGGTCTATTATTCATTGTAGCTTTCATCTTGGCCTGTGCTTTTCCCTTAGCTAAACTTGAGCAAGTTAATGAACTGTCAGGTCCCTGTCACCAAGTTCCATATTTGCCAATGGTTTTTACCATGTAGTTTATATGTCATTGATCTAAAAATATGGGGTAAGTGGGTAACTATGACTTAGATGTGAATGGTATAAGATTGAGGAGATAAATCACTTGATGAAAAGCGTTAAGGTGGAAGATATGTAGGCTGAAGAAGGTCATTGACAAAGATGAATATATGATTTTGATGGATAGATAACTACTCAAAGGAGGTACGCTCTAAATCTGTTTGTATCATTTGCTCTTGATGTTGTCTACGTTGATATAAATATCAAAAAATGCAATAGCCAATGCACAAGTGAGAATGCTTTGTTGTTTTAAGGTAATATGAGGAATACAGAAGCATTAAAGAATTTGTGTATTACTTATCAATACATATCAGGCCCAGTGGTTAGGATCATGAAGAGAATGGAAACATAAAGCACTTTTATTATTCAATTTGAGTACCAATATTTTCTACCTGGAGCATGTGTAGGACATAGTATTGTATCCATAAGTGCCATACAATCAATAAAAAAGCTTACATGTTATAGGCTCGGTGACTATAGAGGCATGATGATGAGAGTGATATCGAGAGTAGAGGAAATGATGGTGCAGTGCTCTGTGGAACCAGTAGTAGAGGAACTCGACTGGACCCATATGAAGCAAAGCCATCATTACTGCTCCATCAGACCTCCAAAAAGGTATGTTTCGAGCGCTTGGAATGAACGATCGTCCAATATATTATAACAAACCATTGAGCATGATCTGGTCATCCCTGTCTTTGTTATTTTCATAAAAAATCAAGAAATATTTATTAGATCCAACAGAACCTAAGGACATTACTTAATTATCTATTTATTGGTTCCTTTATAGTGCATAATTCAATTTTATGCCTTGACATATTTTCCATAAGTAGTACTTTTTGTTTGTAGCTGATATTGGATGAGTAAGGAAAACATTAAAATCTTGATGATAACCTGTCTTCAACTTCATGATCATCTATGAAAATTTATAACTAAAATCTTAGTAATGAATGCTATATGTAATGTCAACCCACTTTTAGCTGCATTAAAAGCAACCACAACTTGTTTGAGCAACTAGATTCAACTTATAAGTCTGGCAATTTAACTGTCAGGTTGAATGAGTTTGTTTGGATCTACAACATTGCACACTTTGAAGCTTTCTGCAAAATATCAGGTTCTAAACTTCAATTAGAGATTATATGAGCCATTAGGAGTAGAGTTCAGATTTAGCCAGGAAAGCCCATTAGAACTTTTCCATATTTGTGTCCTGTGAATTTTCTGAGTATTAGATGATGAGGATCTGTCCTGCATCATCGGATACTCTTACTTGGTGTGGTACCGTGTCACTCACTTATCATTTCATCAGTAACTCTTACAGTGAAATAACTCCTGTTAATGTAGAAAAAGATACTCCTCAACTTAATGAAACTATGAGACTATTTACCTCCTTTGACGTCATGGAGTTGTCAATGGCAATTTTTTTAAATGCTGCCAAGAGCATAGTAGCCCTGCCTCTCACATCATCCCAATTTGACACATTATGCATCTCCTGTACAAAAAGATTCACCCACGAGGATCCATTTTGAAACGTCTTAGAGTTACCTTAAATTTCACCTGAAATTTATGGACGCGGAAAAGTTTAGAAAAAAAAGCTTCATGCATAGTATCCATGGATCAGACTAACTTCATCCCAGCCCACTCAAAACCCAGATTCATGAAGGGAAGATGGAACCATGTTCTAACTTCAATGGAATTTTCATTTAAAAGAACTGTCACATTCAAGCTTCTTGCTTCATCTGTCTTAAGATTGCTGCCAAGGCAAAAGGCATGGAGATTCTTAATGGCATCATCATTTTTGTTATCATGGCTTTCTAGAACCAATTCCACAACCTGAAATGATAATTGAGAACCCAATATAGTATTAAGTTTCAGTCTTTCAAGGAACATGAAAAGAACAGTTATAAAAGAGTATTATTTTGGGTAAAATCGTTTCTGCACGACTATACATAGAATACTCACTTCACTCAAATAACATTTTGCCTCTGAAGAATACTCACTCCCTCCTTTTCAAGATAATAGAAACCTATATCAACAATTACACATGAAGATCAGATACAAGCAACAACTATAGAATCACAATAAATTAGGGACCTGCATAAGTCAATGGTTGATGGATATTATGCACAAACCACATGAAGTATTTGGCTTAGTATTGCAACTTTGAAACTTACTATACTTTAACTGTATAAAGCATCAAATTGTTATGTTGCGTCATAAATTAAAATGGTTGATGGCCATTTCTGATATCTGTGAAGGCCAAAATGCTTTAACTTCTCATCATTTTTTAACCTCAAGATTGAATTATGTACACACACGCATAGCATACACAAGAAATCTATTCCTCATTAAGAGCATTTTGGTGCATATATATTACCCTCCTATGTTTAGTAACATCTTTTGAGAATAATGTGTGAAATAGTGTGCACTTTTCTAATACACTTTTACGTCTAGATTAAATAATTTAACATTTTGTCATATAAATGCATATATTCTACTTGGTTGGATTTGCTTTGTTTTTCTTGAAAACATTTCAGATGTTGTGGGTGATTCAGTCAATTTCTCTTCTTTTTGGGTCCTCATCTCAAACAGCGATTATCATTTTTAAAAGCTCTTGTAGGTGTACTTGTTTTCTAAATGCTCATTACTTCATGTTTATTCTTGATTATTCATTCTCTTGTTGCAGGTGTATATCTTGGGTTATTTGATAGCGAAATTGAAGCTGTAACATCTTACCGAACACTGATTTTCTACATGTTAGCAATAAGTTCCTTAGTATGAATAACAAGTTTAACGTGGTTGCTATCTATCACAGTTTAATAACAAGTTTAACGTGGTTGCTAACTATCACAGTTCTTCTGTTGGTGGTCAGCGCTTATGACAGGATAGCAATCAAAATTAATGGAAGTGAAGCTGTTACCAATTTTGACACAACTACTTATGATGGTGAAATACTTCCTCAAACCAATAATAGTGGTATTACTGGTTTGTATATCTTACTCCTATCATAAATAAGAATATTACTCCTATCATCGTTACTTTGAGCAGAAATATACATTGGCTATATTGCTTAGAAAAAATAATAGTGGTATTGCTTAGGGGAAAAAAATTCTTTCTCTGGTCTGTTCATTATCATAAATAAGAATATTACTCCTATCATCGTTATTTTGAACATAAATATATATTGGCTATATTGTGATTGCCCATGCTTTGGGTGGCTAATTTTTAGCCTTGTAAATTATCCAGGCACAAATAGCACTGAATAATGTGGATGCTGCGATACAAAGTTTCAAAAAAAAAAAAACACTAGAATTAGAGCCAAATGATGGTGATATATCTTCGTAAATTTTATTTTTTTTTAATTTCTTGAGCATGTTTCTACCATACTGATGTGTCGCGATCTCTCTTAAAAATATATGTTTGTTTGAAGGAAAAATAAAGGAGGAACTTCTTGTTGTGAACAAGAAGGTAAGTGGAATTATGAGGCCATTTGACTGCATCTTCAATTACTCGAGGATTTTATATAATATCTCTGTGAGTAGCATACATTTTGTTTACTCTTGCTTGCATGCTTTTTTTCTTCAGCTCAATTAGCACTTCGTTCATCTCGTTAAACATTAAATTCAGACATCAGAAAAAGTATACAGAGATATTTATTAGCTATCTAAAATTGGTAGTGGTAATAGGATAACAACGAAAGATGCAAGTGAATGATTTTCAAACATCTATATTCCTATTATTAATAAAAAATTATCCAACAAAATTTATGCACGCGCAACAAGTTCTCTATGACTAAATCTTAGCAAATACAAAACACACAAAAGATTTACAAATAAGATATTGCTTGATTTTATCAAGGATGCAGTTTACACTCTTTCTTCTCTCTATGCATTGTAATAATAATATAACATTCAGACTTATGTTCTCTTGTGCTTATAATTGCTTGATTTGTTGAGACTTACCCTGTTTATTTTACTATACATTGCAAGAGCGATTGAAAGAAGCTAAAATCAAAACATGGAAAAGTTCAACTTGGCAACATCACTGTGGATATGGTGCTCATCTTAACAAATTATGGATATGTCAATTTTATGTTTCCCATGTGGCTATGTGGGCAACACACCTATTACTAGCACATAGCCGATAGTGTGCGGATAACGTTAATTGATCTCAAATCTTTGAATTTTGATAGGTTATAGGTGGAATGAGAGGAATGACTGGATTATTGTGAGAAACATTATTACTTGATCCTGATGACGTGAGTTTGGTTTTAATATATGCTATGTATTGAAGACAAGTGCATTTTTTTATAAAATATTGCAAAAAAATGAAAATTTGATACAACATCAGTAGACTTTTGGTGTGCTTCCTTCTAGAATGTCTGAGCCTGGCCAAAATATTTAAATAAATGACGTAACATTTATATTTTCTGCTGCAAGCGGTGGGAAGGAGCCATTGCCCGAGGGTCTTGTGTGGCTTCTTTTGACTGGAAAGGTGATTATTGACTTGCTTCTATTGTAATCACAAGGACAATTTTCTTGTATTTTCCCTAATTATTGCCAGTGTTTGTTTGCCATTTTTGGTGCTGTTTTACATGATATCCTATTGTGTTCGGAGAAAGATGCAAAAGTAAAATGCACCTTAAGCAAGGTAATTTCTCGAATAATTTATATTCATTTACTTATTTATTGTTAACGCTAACTTCCGTAATTACCCCTACCAAGTGTAATTAGCGTAAATAAAACGCATATTAGAAGCTTACGTGTCAAGAGAAAAAAATGGCGGCTGAAGTGGTAAGTAGAATAAAGGAGTAGGGGTAATTTAGGAAATGAGGTTTTTGTATCTGAATAATAAAGTTATTCAGTTTTATATATGTATATATATTATATACATATATATTATATATATACATATATTATACATAAAAAAATAAAAAAATTACTATTCTGGGCTGGGTGCCGACAACCGGACCCGGACCCGGGTCTGGCCCGAGTTTTCGGGCCAAGCTCAGGCCGGGCCCGGACCGGCAGGCTTTTTGGACAGCCCTACCCCCGACCATGTATTAGTTCACTTATGTATAAGCACCAACTACCAAGGGTTTTTGTGATTCAACCCTTTTTGACACTGTTCCAAAAAGTAACCCAAAAAAATTCTAAAACTACATCTCATGTTCTTCTTCTTCTCTCTACCTTTCTCTTTTTCTCGTGGAGACCATAACTGATCGTTTCTCCTCTTCTCCTCTACTCCTCTCCTCTTCCTCTCCCATAACCCTACCTTTCTCCTCTCTCTTCTCTTATTTCTCTTACCCTGTGACCCTGATGTCTTCCTCACCCACCTCCTCCTTCGCCACCACCGAGCGTACCCTCTAGCCTCATTCTTTGGCAAGCATTAAGAAGACTTAGAAAAAGGAGAGGTGGTCGACAAGATGGATGGAAAGGAGCATGGAGAAGGAGTAGGAGAGAATCAATGAGAGATTGAGCTCATCGAACCAGTGAGTCCCATGGTGATGGGAGGTAAAAGGAGATTGGGAGGGGGTATGGATGGATTTGGTGATGGAGCATGGTCAGCAAGAGGGGTAGAAGGCGGTGGGAGATAAAGGTTTGGGTTAGGGCTCATATCTATTGGGTAATGAAGGAGGAGGAGGAGGAGGATGAGGATAATGAGGATTTTGGGACATATGTGTCATTTGTCAAAATGCTTGTGAGGTGGATGAATTGGCTTTTAGATTAAAATGATATTACTTGGGCTAAAAATTTACCAATGTCTATAGAGTGTTTGATGAAATGTCAAAGAGAGATGTGGTTTCTTAAAATGTGATAATAACATTTCGTGTATAAAGAAAATGTTATGGAGATATTATCGTGTAGATGTGTGTATATAAGCACCAAAATTACACCAACTTTTTGATTATATGAGTTAGTTATAAGAAAATTTAGTTGTGAATCTTATATATTAGCTTTTGTGAAAGTTAACAGGAAAAGCCAAAAGTCAACAGGTTCAAGTGAAAATTAACAGCTAACTGAGATAGTTAACAGGAAACATAAATAGCTAACATATAGTAAAAATGTATTTTATATTGATTATTCTTACATTCTTACAGCTGATATAGCTTGAATACACAATTTGATTGGTCTTACACTCTTTAAGGCTTCCAAAATTCTTCCATAGTTAGCTATAAAAGTCTTAACAACCTATACTGCTCTACCAAAAATATAGTTCTACATAACAATCCACACTAATCACTAATTATATTTTTTTTCCTATTAATTTGATACGTTTATTGTTGATACCATATATACTTTACAGGTAATACCCAAAGTTAACAACTTTTAGTAAAAGTTAACAGGAAAAGCTAAAAGTTAACAAGCTCAAGTGAAAATTAACATCTATCTCAAAAGTATAGTTCTACATAGAAATCCATATTAATCACCAATTAGATTCTTTTTTCTACCAATTTGATATATTTATTAATGATACCATAACTTTCAGTGAAAGTTAACAGAAAAAGTCAAAAGTTAACAGGTTCAAGTGAAAGTTAACAGCTATCTCAAATATTTCCTTAAATTTTAAATTACCAAATTAGTCTTACTAAATACAAAGTATCAATTTTAAACTACTAAATCTCAAACTACCTAATTTTGATCGTGCTCAAAAGTTTACTAATTATCTCAAATTTTTTAAATTAGTAACAATTTTTAAGGAAATATCAAAATTAAAATAAAATTTAAATTATAAAATTAATATTATCAAATACAATTTACCAATTTAAACTATGAAATTTTATTTTAATTTAACTACCTAATTTAGATCATGTCTACAATTGTGAAAATTTAATTCATATTTTTTAAATAATTATAGGAGGGGTTAGTCAAGCAGAACTCAAAGTTAGAACTAGGATAATTTGTAGGACAAAATTTTATAGTGTTAGTTTATTGGACACGGAACTATGATAAAGTTATATTGTGTTAGTCAACTAGAACTGGATAAAAAGTAGAACTGAGATAATTGTAAAAATTTATCCTACTTTTGTCAAACTAGTATATTACATGTGCTTTGCATGAGAGCATACCTATTTTGTTTTATGTTTTTAAATTTTTTTGTTGGCTACAAAATACTAAAATGACTTGCATAACAATTCTGAACAATTATAATTTTTTAAAATGAATAAATTATACGATAAAATTGTGTATAAAGAAGTGTACGGTTAATTATTATAGTTTAGATAACTATTATAATTCATTAAAATAATTATAATATATTAAATATTTTACTCTCTTTTAAATATTATAATATTATACATAGCATAATTTTAATACTATTAGTAACTATATTTAAATTTCATAATTAGTTTATTACATTATTAGTAAATAATTTACTAAATTGTGTAATTATTAAATTACAATGTAATTTATTAGTTTAGAAAAATACTATTAAAATCATTATACTATTAATACTATTATAATTACAATAAATATAAGTTGTTTTTCATACTATTATCATACTTTTAAAAGGCTAATAAGATGAAAGGTAATAGGTAATCCTCGATAAGACGTGAAACTCAAAGGCATAAGGCATAACATAATAAATTAATTATTATTTAATATTTTTCTAGAATTTTAAATATTATGTGAAGATAAATTAGAGGAAAATTTTAAATATTCTATTAAATAAGATAGTTAAATAACAAAATTATATTGTGGCCAAATGTTTTGAAAATTGAGGAAATGCACAATTAATAAGAGGTTATATATAATTAGTTAATGATTAATTATAACTAATGACATATTTGAGAATTATTAAACTTAAAAGTGAAAAAATAGAAATCAAAATTTTTGACGAGGCAATTCTCTTTTATATGTAGTATAGATGTATATAGAAAAGAGAGAGAGTTTTAGTCTCTCAAATTCTCGTGTAAAAGTTGGTCATTCTACTTTCTAATAGAAACGTTAGATTCATAGCTCTGGGAGAGAATTCCATACTTGAACAAAGAAATTGAGAGAGTCAAGGGAGAAATCCGCTCTCCCAAGTTTGAAGCTAGAATTACATGGTATAAGACTATAACTTCTTATTTACTTTATATTTAAAGAGAGAGTTCTAGTCTCTCAAGTTGTCCCAAGTTTTAAGTTAGAATTACATGGTACAAAACTAGACCTTCTTATTAACTTTTTGGGAAAATTGCTTCTAGTCCCCAAGTTCCTTACAAGTATTCCGCCTCCTCCCAAGACTTTTTCAACGCTACTAAAACTCCCAAAAGTAAAGCCATAATTTCCTGAGCCCCCAAAACATAAAACCTAAGAGTTTAAAACATGTGAAAATCATAATACCTTCTCTCTCTCTCTCTCTCTCTCTCTCTCTCTCTCTCAAGGTTTTAAATATCGGTTATCAGGGATTTACCGGACGGTCAAAATCCTTATCAGATAGCAAAAATCGGAGATATATCGGGGATAAGTAGTATTTATCGGAGTGATATAGAGGATGGTGTATATATATAATATAATAACTAAAAAATATAATCTAACCATGCTTAATGAAATATAAATATACCAAAATATATATAATCATGTTTAGAATCACTAACCAATTGTCGAAAGCGAAACTTGCATCTTAACTGCACGATGAAACCATTCAATTGCATATAGCCTTGAAAAAAAATATATAATGTTAGTCAAAATGGAATAATAAACAAGCAAAGAATAGGATAACATCAAGAATGAAGAACCATCTAGGCATCTACATAAGTATTGTGTAATCATGAGATTCATAAACTAACTAAGTTGATATTTAGTAGTTATGAGCTATATTAATATCCATAAACAAACAAAAGCTAATCAACAATCAACAAAGTTCCAAAATCAACAAATAGTTCATAATTCTAAACATTCAAATAGCAAATCCAAAAGAAAGCAAAGCTGCAAAAGCAAAGATAACTAAATTAATCTTCATCGGAGCTGAACGTTGGAATATTATCCATTCCCTCATCTGAATCAAACTCCGAAGATTCCATGTCTTCCTCCTCATCTTCCAAAGGCTCCTTGCCCTTCGATGAAGATTCCCCGAACTTTTTCTTTCTTTTATATTGTTTTGTTCTAACACTCTTCCTCTTTTTAGGATTAGCTCCAATGAGATCTCCATATTGCCTCCAAGTAAGAGATTCCCCCGCAAACACTTCATCATCGCTCTCATCATGATGACCTCCCCTCTTCTTTGTAGTCATCAACCACTCGGAGGACCTTTCTTCATCATCAAAGGCAATTAAAGGATCTTTATCCTTGTTGGAATGCTTATTTCTCAACCTTGCATTGAACTTGACGTAGACAAAATCATGTAATTTCCGATGCGTTAGT